CAGTCATTAGCAATTAGTAGTTTATTAGCTGTCGATAGGATTAATCATCCTTATCTTCAATCAGTCATTAGCAATTAGTAGTTTATTAGCTGTCGATGGGATTAATCATCCTTATCTTCAATCAGTCATTAGCTGGCAATCCTTAAGCCATTAGGTTGTAATTTATTTTGCTATAAAACCCTGAAAAAGATCAATACAAAGGCATCGAATGTTTGATCGCAATTCTTCTCCCCTTAAAAAATTCTCTCATCTCTTCCATCTCTTATTCTTCTCTCTTTCTTTTAAGTAATACCCCTTCAGTTTGGTTATTGTTTCTTATATGCTTATGCTGAGGCAGTGATCGGTGTAAGATGGGAAACAATTGTGTTGGATCGAGAAACTCGAAAGATGGAGTATTTCCCTCGTTTCTTTCGAGTTCATTCTGTTGTTGGTCACAGCCAACGATTGAAGGGGTTTCACTTGAATACGTGGAAATTTCTTGTGCACCTTCACTTGTGAGTAAAAGGGCAAATCCAAATGATCCAGATACTGTTCATCAAAAGCCTCCTGAGGTAGTGAAATTTGACAACAAGGAGATGAAGCAGGTGCAACAGACAACATATAAAGAGAGCAATAAACCTTCAGAGGAACAAATAAAGCACGTGGAACAGAACACCATTGTAATAGTCGTCTTTTTTAATAATTATTAGTTTATATTTCCCCAGTTTATCTTTTACTAGAGATCATTTTTTTTCTTGTGCTTGATTTTACAAATCCTTTTAACCTATGCAGCCTCCTAAGAACAGCCTTGGTATATTTACACCTACCTGGTTCACAGCTGCTACATTTCTAAGGAAAGATGACCATCGAAAATTTGTTGCTGGCACCAACAACCATCAGGTAATTTTAATCAGCAGATTTTCTCAAATCCTAAAATAAACAAAGAAATAGATTTTTGATGTCTAATAACCCATGAATTCTACCTATCTTTTATGTTTATCTTTGCCTATTACTTATCAACACCATTATATCAGAATCTTAACGACTTTTATCATTTCTTTCTCTTATTGAGATTATGATATTGAAAAGTGATTGAAAAGTAATAGGAAAAGGTAGGGAAAAAAGTAGAATAGCTTATCCCAAAATTTATACAAAATAATAATAACAAAATATCTTTGGCCAAATCTTACCTAAAAAATAGGAAGAATTTGTTATAAAAAAAATAGAAAGTTTTGGTTAGTGGGAAGTTATTTGAAAACTTCCAACCTCCCCCCCCCCCCTCTTTTTTAATGGCTTTGACATAGAAACCTTATTAAACTTGAACTAGCTAGGCTCCTTAGTGATTGACAGAATTATTTGTAGTTGTTTTCTGCTTATAGTTATAGTTATCTTTAAAGTTAATTGTTTTTTAAACAACTCTGTAGTCATAATTATTTATATATTTTCACTGGTTGCAGGTTTTCCTTAAGCAGCATATTACCCTAAACCACGTAGAAATTTATTGTGCACCTTCACTTGTGAGTAAAAGGCCAAATCCAAATGATCCAGAGACTGTTCATCAAAAGCCTCTTGAGGTAGTGAAATTTGACAACAAGGAGATGAAGCAGGTGCAGCAGACAACAGATAAAGAGAGCAATAAACCTTCAGAGGAACAAATAAAGCACGTGGAACATAACACCATTGTACTAGAGCCAGTTAGGCAGAAGGAACATACTAGACCAGCAGAGCCAGCAAAACGAGAAAAGTTCCATAATGTTAAGATGCAATCAATTGCTGGGCTTCAAGTAGATTCGGTTTTGCAGAGAAAAACGGGTTATCTTAAGGAGTACTACAATCTGGGACCAGAACTTGGGCAAGGACATTATGGAACCACTTTCCTTTGTTGGGAGAAAGCTACTGGGAACAAGTATGCCTGCAAGTCCATTCCTAAAGAAAAAATGGTGACAGATGATGATGTGGAGGATGTGAGGAGGGAGATTCAGATAATGCATCACTTGGCAGGTATTCCCAATGTTGTTTCCATTAAAGGGGCTTATGAGGATGCTGTTTCGGTTCATGTCGTTATGGAATTATGTGAAGGGGGTGAGCTTTATGATAGGATTGTGGGAAAGGGATATTACACGGAAAGAAAGGCAGCTAAACTTGCAAGGACTATAGTTAGTGTTGTTAAGGATTGCCACGCCCTTGGAGTAATACATCTTGATCTTAAGCCTGAGAATTTTCTTTTCGTTAATGGCCATGAAGACTCCACCCTTAAGGCAATAGATTTTGGATTGTCTGTTTTCTTTAAACCAGGTTCGATTTTCTTTTCCTTTTTCCCCCTTGTTCAATTAAAATCTATCCCTAATTGTTTATGATGTACTAACTAATGATGTGAGTCATATTTGTTGTAGTAACAGATAATTAATTTGATATGAGAACATGCAAAGCTTTCCTGAAGAATTGAATTCTTATTGATGCTTCCCTAAATATAACAAGTTTGACAAAACAAATATATATTTTTTTTTTGCATTGTCATAATTATATGATTGCTATGAGTGTTTGTCACTAACAATCTTCATTTACAGGAGATGTTTTCAAGGATCCGGTTGGAAGTCCTTTTTATATAGCACCTGAAGTTCTAGGCAAACGTTATGGCCCAGAAGCTGATGTCTGGAGTGCTGGTGTGATCATATACATTCTCTTATGCGGAACACCTCCATTTTGGGGTGGTAAGAGTTCTTAAGATGTCTTTCCCTTGATGATCCAATCATTTTGTTTAATTTCTATTTCCTTATAGGTTTCTTCTGGTTCTAAAAATTGAGATTTTTTATTTTGTTCCTTGGTAATAGGAACAGAGCGAGAAATATATTGGAATGTTTTGCATGGTGATCTTAATTTCTCTTCAGATCCTTGGCTGTATATATCTGAAAGTGCAAAAGACTTGATTAGGAAGATGCTTGTTAGAGATCCTAAACAAAGGATAACAGTTGATGAAGTTCTTCGTAAGTTTCAGTTTATGAATAAAATCACTGTACTGCTAATCTTTCAGTTTTTTCAAACACACACCCTAAGAACAAATTTATTGTATTTTTAAATATTTTGGACGAAAAAATCTGCATTGTATTGCCAGACTTTCTGACTTGTGAGTATTAATTGTAATTGTGACAAAATCATAGAACTTGAGGTTTTGTTACCATCTTGTAAGTGATCATGTTCCTTTTCTTTGCAGGTCACCCTTGGTTTCAGGTTGATGGAGGTGCGCCTCTTGATTCTGCAGCTTTGAGTCGCCTGAAGCAGTTTTCTTTAATGAAAAAGCTCAAGAAAACGGCTTTTACAGTAAGTAATCTTTCCATTACATAACTGTGTCCCATGAGAATATATGTTTTCCACTCTTTTGGGAATGATGACTAGTAGATTGTTATATATTGACTTTTATTTGCAAAGTTGAATATGTCAACATCTTAAATTCAATTTGGAATCATCAAATTATGCTCTTTTAATATTTTCCATATTGTTCTGTGAAGATTATTGCACAGAATCTTTCTGAAGAAGAAATTTCTGGTTTGAAAGAAATGTTTAAGAAGATAGATACTGACAACAGTGGTCAAATAAGTTTTGAAGAACTCAAGGTTGGACTGAAAACGTTTGGTGCTAATCTCAGGGGATCTGAAATTTTCGATCTAATGCAAGCTGTAAGTATTACTTCAGAATTTTCTTTAATTTCCTTAACGTCACAAAATAAACCTATATTTTGTACCCTTTATTTTGGTTTGGCCAAACATTTTCTCCTGTTAGAATATTAGGATTCTTATTGCTTTAGGACTTCTTATTATGTTAGTAGGAGTAGTCCTATTGGACTTGATTTGTTCATGTTGTAACTTGACCAAGATTATGATAAGTGTTTGTTTATGATTAATCTTGCAAGGAAAGCTCTTTGTAATCATTTCTTGAAACATGTTTATACAAAGTAGCGAAAAGTATAATAATAAATAACAATAAAAAAAATATTATAATAAATCACTTCTACTAGCACATTGTTAAAATCCATTTGTCCCACTTTTGTTTCTGATTGCAGGCAGATGTTGATAACAGTGGTACAATAGACTATGGAGAATTCATAGATGCAACATTGCATTTAAACAAAGTTGATATGGAAGATCATTTTGTTGATGCATTCTTATATTTTGATAAAGACGATAGTGGCCACATCACTCAAGGTAAGCTTCAAGCTTGTGAAGAATTTGGCACGCAGGATGTCCTCTCAACAAGTTTAACATGAACTGATGAAAGAGTGAATTGACTATCGAGTTGGTAGAGGGAGCTTTTCAAATGAGGCCTGTCATGTTCATCACTTAGGGTTCAAAGTATTGTTATAATGTCTTGCCTAATGTAAAAAATCACAATTTGGATTATATTTCTATCTCGCCTCTAAATGGTGGATATGAATTGTGATGTAAAACAACCTATCTATAAAGTGGAAAATTAAAATAAATTCAAATCTGAATTTGCTGCAAGGCTAAAGATTTAAGGCCAAATTTTGGTTATCTGGATTTGGAAGTCTAATTTGAAGAACGAAATGAAAAATTGCTAACTTTTCCAAATTCGCCGATTGAAACATTACCTTATATGATCCAAACACAATGTTATAACTTATAGCCATGGTATCGTCATCTCAATAATTTTTCGAATAATAATTTTATTCTCATTTCACCAAGAAAAAAAAAATCTCGTGGCTCAGGAAGAAAGCACAAAAAAAGACCAAACATACATGTTGTTTGTATATTAATCGAATTATTCCCTGCATACGTATTCTGCTTTATATAGGGAAACATCCCATGTAGGGTTTTTGACTTCTATGTAAAGCCTTTTGATAAGGACAACAGAAGATACACTGAACTCTGGTCAATTTGTAGGTATATGCTATTCTCCAATGTATAATATTTGCTATTCAAAAGGATAGAATTGGGTAAAAATTAAGTTGTAATGCTTTCCATTATACTAGTATATTAACCGCGCGATGCACGATAAAAAAGATCAAAATTTTTGTCGTCCGTCGTGGTTGGTTAATCGCACTACAAACCTTATACTTACAAAAAACTGTGTTGCAATCTTGTTTTATAATTCAGGTGGAAAAAATTACAACTTTGACACTGAACTTTGCAAATATCAACCATAAACAAAAATATGCTATCCAGAGTGATCAATATTATGCAAATCAAATATAGTTATCTACTCGATGAGTTATGTAAAAAATAAATACGCCATAGTAGATTATGTTAAAATGAGGATGGCTAAAAAAAGAAAAATGCATACAACTTATTGCTAACTATAACAGCCACCAATAAAATCAAGGTAACAAACAGACCAAGCAAATATGGAATTAAAAGATCAGCTTGTACCTATAATAAGAAAATGTTATTAATTCAGTGTCATTCTGTAGCAATCATTGGAGGGATGAGTTCAACACATACCAAACATGTGATTTCTTATGTTTATGCATTACCAAAGACATCATCTTTTACAAATTTGTATTTACCAAAATTAAAATCAGATTTAGGAACTTAATTATAAAAGAAGAAGGATAAAATTTTAATTTAACTACAAAAATCCGTAATCAATTAAAACAATACCATAATTGTAAATGCAAAACTCGCGAAAGCATAAAATATACTCATCATCAACTCTCTAAGCAATACCATTCATTTTAGCTTTTAAAAAATCCATTTTCAAATTTTAACACAGTGGTAATCGATTACCATCCTTGAGGTAATCGATTACCAAAGGTTACTGTAGAAGTCAAAACCTCAAATTCAGCTCCCCTGTTTTCTGGTAATCGATTACCAGATATTGGTAATCGATTACTCTGTAGACAGAAGCTCAATTTTTCGTTCCCTGTTGCAGGTAATCGATTACCAGTGAAAAGTAATCGATTACTATGCAGCAAAAATGACAGATGAAAGCTTTTAAGACCCAAAATGAGTGGTCTAACATACTCCTAACACCTTGATACTTATTATACACCTTACATAAGTATTAACGTAGGCTCTAGGCCCTTCCATCATGCGTATTCATTAATAAATGCATCATTACAACCATTATCAATATAATAGCCATTTTACACAACCAATGGTCTATTTACAACTCAAGTCTTCCAATGCCTCAAAATACAATTATGTGGCCATGGACAAGTCCCATGCTCACTCAAAATACAAAATGACAAGAGGCATAACTATACATCAACTTAAAGGACTTAACATATGGTCATAAATATACAAGAGCATGGCAATATCCACATGCAACAAGTTCATATCCTAAGTCCAAAATATCACATACTACACTATGTACATGAAATGGAATCTTTCAATATGTCATGCTCTCCAAATGCGCCTCACGCTCTACTTTTCCACTAAGCGGGCCTCTTGCCCGAAGATCCACCATGCTCAGCAAGACCTGAAATGATGTCCCCAAACGCGGGGTGAGATATACAAATATATCTCAGTAAACCAAGGGTACTAGAGGATCACTCCACCCCATGGCTCACTCAATGTGTATCACACAACAACAACTGGGCACAAATCCAAGGACATCCACATCACGATTCCCTTAAAGGACCCCATCGTATAACTCCCGGAATCTTCCTGGTGCCTCTCCCATGGTTGAGACGACCCCATGGCAAAACCCAACTGGAACTCCTCATGAGCCCTATCCAGCGGAAGTCCCAGGTTTGGATCATCCTGGTACCGCTCCCAGAGTCGGTTGCACGGCAAAACCCGACCGGAATCCCCAAAGGATATCTCCAGCGGAAGTCCAAACCAACACACATCTACTGGCTAGAGATCACAATTATATCACACAACATGTTCCAAACATGTCACACAATCATGTCAATAATGCATGAACATACATTTATACATAATCAACGGCATCAAATCCAACCACAACCTTCCACTAGGTGTGGTGGAACACACGAGGGAATAAAACCCAAGTTCCAAAGGTTTACCTCAACTTTGAAGCCAATGCTCCACAACGTAAGCTCCAAGCTTAATTCTCCCCTATTGAGTCCGAGAGAGGAAACCTATAATGATCAATCAACATGATCATCAATACAATTTCAAGACAACCAATTCACTTTCAAATACAATAATTCTCAACAAGACAACTTAGGACTAATGGCCAACTACATTTAATCCACTTACTTCAACCATTTTAGTCATTAAACTAAATCACCACTTATGCACTAAGACATCACTCATTGATTATACCACATTTTCACATCATTTTCCTTATTTCCTTCGATATGGTTGAAATCTCACACACAATACACATCCAACATTCCTCCTTTCAATTTCACTACATCAAACCAACCTACCATTCATTTAAACACCAATCATGATCATATAACATCAACTATATCATTTTTACACTGTCACCCCACCAATGACCTCAATAGGTCGAATTCCACATCCCCATCAACCTAGGGGTATTCAATCCGATTCCACACTCATACTCATCATATACTCCTATTATTTACATATACCAATGGTTCATGATTCAATTGTTCAATTACAACACATACCAATTTCATAAAGTCTTGAAACTCATCACAAAATTGCCTAAGTTATAAATTTACAATTCACCATAATTTTTATTGCATCAATCATCATCATTTATCATTCTAAGCATTTAATTACAAAGGAGACATACCATTTAATGCTCCTTACTACCTTAACCCAACTTACATCATCAAAACCCTAACCATTATATGATCTCATTTAAAACAAAGTGAGGGTGAGAAACCTTACCACCAATAGCTTCCAATGATCCTAGGAATTGATCTCCAAGCAATGATTCAACCCAAAGACCCACAAAATTTCTCCAAAATCATCCAAAACCGCCGCTGAAAATGGGGTTTTTCACAAGATGTGGTGGTTTTCATGGCTTAATACTACTACCAATGGATTCGAAAGGTTGTTTCCAACAAATTTCAAGCCAAGAATCACTTGAATCGGTCAAGAAATGAAGAAGTTGCAAGAGGAAGAAGTTGCAAGAGGAAGAAAGATTCAAGGTCATGGCTATGGAAAATAAGAAACTCACGAGAGAGGAGAAGAAAAATGGAGAGAGAATGTCATGTAATTGTGACTTTTAAGTCACTTAAACCATTAGTGGGTCCCACACGCGATTTAACTTTAATTAATCACCTAATTTAAATCACAAATTCATAATCTACATATTTTCCTTGTTCGCGCCATATTTTTGTTTCCTAAAAATATTGATAAAAATTTCACTCTTATCGGTACCATTATACCGCAGTATTTTTACACAGGTAAAATCACTATTCATCAAAAATTTTAAAACTTTCCTATTCACTCGATTTTTCGTCCTGAATCCATTTCTGGCATTATTTTTATCATTTGAGGTCTTCTACTAAATTTTTCATGTCTCGGGTTACGTGTTTGGTAATTTACCATTTTGCCCTTTTCACACAGTTTGGCCTTAATTTCTAGATTTTCACTAATCCTTCCCTTTTAACCCACATTATAGCATATAATTTCATATTTAGATTTACGAGGTGTTATATCCAGAGTGATCAATATTATGCAAATCAAATATAGTTATCTACTCGATGAATTATGTAAAAAATAAATACGCCATAGTAGATTATGTTAAAATGAGGATGGCTAAAAAAAGAAAAATGCATACAAATTATTGCTAACTATAACAGCCACCAATAAAATCAAGGTAACAAATAGACCAAGCAACTGTTGAATTAAAAGATCAGCTTGTACCTATAATAAGAAAATGCTATTAATTCAGTGTCATTCTGTAGCAATCATTGGAGGGATGAGTTCAACACATACCAAACATGTGATTTCTTATGTTTATGCATTACCAAAGACATCATCTTCTACCATCATATTTATGCCTATGATACAAAATGCAAATGCTCGTTAAATAAATTACGTTAATATGTTAACACCCAGAAGTAATAGTCTCAGCAAAAATAAACGGGTTATTTTTTTTTAGAACAAAAAAACATTGTCTGAAAGGCATTTGAAAGAAAATTAACCAAATAATCATGTATGAGTCATATTTTTTGCTTACATTGCAACAAATGTGTCTAAACAGCATCAAATCAATACACATGCTAAAAACTTGTAACAATATAAAGAACCCACAATGATAAATTTTAAAAAAACAACAACCTACATTCGGGTCCACCAAAGACTTAAAGAATGAGGTGACAATAGTTTTGCTGCTTCAAACACTTGAAACTTGATA